CTGATATAGCACATCCGCACCGAATAGCCACTTCATCGCCCAACTCCCTCATCCTGGTATACTCGCTCAGAATCAACCCCAAACAGTGGTGTGACACACGACCGTGGAGAATCTTAAATATGAAATGGCCATACAACATGCCATGTCGTCGTCTGGAGTCCTCGAGATAGTTCTTGATGCCGTTCCTCTGAGTATCAATAGCCTTGTTTATTCTCTCGAACAGTGTATCCAGAGCAGCAGTGGAAGAATCAATCCAGTCCTTCAAAGCTCTATGAGCGCTCTCGACTCTGCATGTCGTAGTGTTCCCAAAATGAAGAACTTGGTTCGTCCAATATTTGACAAACTTTTCCCTCTGAGGTACCCACTGGTGCATCACATAGTCTACGATTGGCGGGCACCACTTGTACGCATCCTTGAAGTTTTCCAAGGCTCGATCGTACTCTGCCTCTGTGGTAGCTTGCATGATCTTCCGCCACTTACCATTTACCAATGTCTCTGCTGTTACTAAATTCTTGTTGAAAAGATTGTAGGCTTTGACTTTCACGCAGTTGTTGATGTGCCATGTGCACAGTAAACGGCTCGACTCCGGAAACAGCTCCGCTATAGGGGCAAAAAGACCTCCCTCACAATCACTTACGATGGCCGATGGCTGTACATTTGGGCCGATGTAGTTTCTCAACTTTTCCAACACCCAACGGTAACTCGCAGCCGTCTCATCCTTCATGACTGCATAACCAATCAGAAAGTTCTGGTTCGTTGGAGCCATCCCAACCATCTCAACCAGTGGGAACTTGTACTTGTTTGTCTTGTACGTTGAATCGATCAAAATCACAGATGGCCAAGACGAAATCATATCAGCACAATCAGGATGGACAAGGAACAAATGAGTTACCTCCGATGTGTCTTCGTCAGATTCAAACCAGTAAAGGTAACCACGTGCTTGTGCCTGGTGCAGAAGCTGCTGTATAGGGTTCCTTCCCTCTGACCGTTCAAACCTCAATTTCTGTCTGACGTTGTAGATGTGTCTTCGGTTTGGCTGGTCTTCGGGGAATTTCTCTAACACAGACGCTAATATTTTAGCGGGCTTCACTTGAGCATCACTCATTTCTTTTACAACTAGTTTCGTAGCTGGACTTAGGCCGCTTAACTGCCGATATAAAACACCACAAGCAAAAAAAAATCAAAAACAAATCAAAACAAATAAACAAAAAAAACAAAACAAATCAAAAAAAAAAACAAAAACAAAACAAAATCAAACAAAAAAAAAACAAACAAACAAATAAAAAAAAAAAACAAAAACAAAACAAACAAACAAAAAAAAAACAAACAAACAAACAAATAAAAAAAAAACAAAAACAAAACAAACAAACAAAAATAAAAACAAGCGTTTTTTTTTATTTGTTTGTTTGTTTTTTTTTTGTTTGTTTGTTTTGTTTTTGTTTTTTTTTTGATTTGTTTGTTTGTTTTTTTTTTGTTTGGTTTTGTTTTGTTTTTGTTTTTTTTTTGATTTGTTTTGTTTTTTTTGTTTATTTGTTTTGATTTGTTTTTGATTTTTTTTGCTTGTGGTGTTTTATTTTGTTTTGTTTTTTTTTTTTGGAATTTTTTTGTTTTTGTTTGCTTGTGTTGTTTTATTTCCTTTTAATTTTTTTTGGAGGGAATTAATTTTTTTTTTAATTCAGTTTTTTTAATGCATCTTTTATTTTGTGTTTGTTTTTGTTTTATTTTGTTTTATTTTGTTTTGTATTTGTTTATTTTTTTTATTATGGTTTTTTTGTTTGTTTATTTATGTTTGATAAATTTGAAATGAAATGTGTGTTATTATTTTGTTTTTTAAATGTATTATGCGTTAAATATAAAAATGATATTTAGAAATTTAAAATTTAGAAATTGCGTTTGTGATAATTTTGTGTTAAGTGTATTAATTTAATCTTAATGTAATTATATTTATACGTTATATGTTATTGTTATAGGATTATGGTGGAGACGGAAATGATTACAGTGGGATTTTTGTACATGATGGCCTGTTCGAAGATGCTCAACAAGCGATTGATTGGGCAAAACAGGTTGCAATTAGATCAGGCTTTTGTTTAGTAGTAGCAAATCATAAATCTCAACGGGATGGTAGAATGGATCGCATTTTGAGATGCGACCGTTATCGCAAAAGAGAAGAACGAGATTTCAGTAAAGCGATTCGGTTTGACTCAAAGCGGAAAGGTTGTGGGTGTCAGTTCCGAGTTAAGGTTCGACAACATCAAAGGCGTGACGGTTGGGAAGTGAAGGGTTACGGCAAATGGGGATATCACAACCATGAGCTGATAGCATACAAAGTGGGGCATCGACAGTTAAGCGGCCTAAGTCCAGCTGCGAAACTAGTTGTAAAAGAAATGAGTGATGCTCAAGTGAAGCCCGCTAAAATATTAGCGTCTGTGTTAGAGAAATTCCCCGAAGACCAGCCAAACCGAAGACACATCTACAACGTCAGACAGAAATTGAGGTTTGAACGGTCAGAGGGAAGGAACCCTATACAGCAGCTTCTGCACCAGGCACAAGCACGTGGTTACCTTTACTGGTTTGAATCTGACGAAGACACATCGGAGGTAACTCATTTGTTCCTTGTCCATCCTGATTGTGCTGATATGATTTCGTCTTGGCCATCTGTGATTTTGATCGATTCAACGTACAAGACAAACAAGTACAAGTTCCCACTGGTTGAGATGGTTGGGATGGCTCCAACGAACCAGAACTTTCTGATTGGTTATGCAGTCATGAAGGATGAGACGGCTGCGAGTTACCGTTGGGTGTTGGAAAAGTTGAGAAACTACATCGGCCCAAATGTACAGCCATCGGCCATCGTAAGTGATTGTGAGGGAGGTCTTTTTGCCCCTATAGCGGAGCTGTTTCCGGAGTCGAGCCGTTTACTGTGCACATGGCACATCAACAACTGCGTGAAAGTCAAAGCCTACAATCTTTTCAACAAGAATTTAGTAACAGCAGAGACATTGGTAAATGGTAAGTGGCGGAAGATCATGCAAGCTACCACAGAGGCAGAGTACGATCGAGCCTTGGAAAACTTCAAGGATGCGTACAAGTGGTGCCCGCCAATCGTAGACTATGTGATGCACCAGTGGGTACCTCAGAGGGAAAAGTTTGTCAAATATTGGACGAACCAAGTTCTTCATTTTGGGAACACTACGACATGCAGAGTCGAGAGCGCTCATAGAGCTTTGAAGGACTGGATTGATTCTTCCACTGCTGCTCTGGATACACTGTTCGAGAGAATAAACAAGGCTATTGATACTCAGAGGAACGGCATCAAGAACTATCTCGAGGACTCCAGACGACGACATGGCATGTTGTATGGCCATTTCATATTTAAGATTCTCCACGGTCGTGTGTCACACCACTGTTTGGGGTTGATTCTGAGCGAGTATACCAGGATGAGGGAGTTGGGCGATGAAGTGGCTATTCGGTGCGGATGTGCTATATCAGTGACTCATGGATTACCTTGTGCATGCACCATTCACCGCGTAATTACGCAAGACAGGGCGTCGTTACATGTCGATCAGGTTCATCCATTCTGGCGGACGCTCGTTATCGGAGAGCATGCTGTTCCGCATACGGTTCACCGTGAACAGGAGGAGTTGGAGCAGTTTCAGTTGATGTTTGACCAAGTGTCCTCCAGTCACCCTTCGATCATTCGTAGTGCTACACACATACTTCATGACATGTTCAATACATCGTGTTTGGATACCGAGGAACCGGAAGGGGTCGAGCGACCTAGGGGTCGACAACCACGGCGGAACAAGAGTGCGTTTGAGTACATTCGCGGTCGTGGCCGTGGCCGTGGCCGTGGTCGTACATCCTCATCAAGTGGCGGCCAATCATCGTCGTCGGTGAATATGCCCGGCACCGGTAAGACATTCGACTTCAATTTCTTTTGTTGACTGTTTGATTAGTTTACTGTTGACTTGTTTATTGTGTTTATTGATGTGTGTAACAGGGAGAATGGACATTGAACATTTTCCATATAAGGACAGGATCCCTAATATCATGATGCCATTCTTGGACGGGTGGAATGATGTCATTGCAGATGGTAACTGCGGATTTCGGGTTGTGGCGGATGTGTTTCAAATGGGTGAAGACAACTACGGTTTAGTGCGGCAGTTGATGTACAGTGAAATCGCATCAAACCGAGATGTGTATGGCCATGTGTACGGCGAGGACTTGGATAGGTCTCTGCAGCGTATCCGGTGGGGAGGGGGACCTTGCGATCAAAATCATTGGTTCGATGCGCCACTTGATCTCTTTGCCGTTGCAAACATCTACAAGTGTGCAGTCATGCATTTCGGCCTTGGTTTACATAGTCGAGCCTATTATCCATGTACAACGGTTCTGCCCTGGTGTTCGCGCGAGACCGTCACCAGACCGGTAAGGGACGTTGCTATTGGATTTCTTGGGCCGTCATACAGACATTTTATCCGATTAGACATGTCACCCGATTTTCCGGTCCCACATATCATACCGAAGTGGTATGAAATTCGTAGAGCAAGCGTGGAGGGTTGGGATGCTTTGTACCATGCTCGCGTGCAACAGTGGAACAATTTAATTGCCATGTAGTTTTTGTTGATGTACACCTACCTTTTACTATGAGGCCTTGTATTGTCAATACTATGTCATTTCTATGTGTTCATTTTTAAAAGATAATGTTTCATTTTAAAAAGTAACAACAATAATTTCACAATATTACAAACTAAAAAGATAATATTGAATTTTAAAAACTAAGAACAATAATTTCAAATATTACAAACTAAAAAGATAATGCCCATCCACTACACAAAACAAAAAACATGAAACGACGTATTATACATATATATATTAAAATAAGAGAACAACAAATAAAAGATGAGACGTACCGCATAAGAGGCAGTGGCAGGTGACACATCGTCATCATCTGCGTCGTCGATGTCTTTGATCAACCTCGGGTGCGAGTGCCGGATGTACTATTCCATGTAGTGCTGGTCACACATGGCAGTCACCCCACTTGGCGGCCGCTGCAGCTCCGCCGTCCATAGGCGGGCAACCATCGGAAACTGCTCCCACATGGATATCATGTTTGCCGGCCATTGGACGACGTACTCCTTCGACGACGCAGATCGTACCGCCTTACTGGGCCATGCCGGTGGAGGTGGGACAACTTGGACAAATCCAAGCTGGCGAAGACAGCGCTGCGGCATGTACGCCTCTACGATCTCGCGATACTGAATCAGTCCGGTGTAGAGGGTCCTAGGTACCCTATTACTAGGGTTCTGGCCGAAAGGCATCCAGTTCACCTGCACATTATTGAAAATCAGTAACAGTCATAAAATAAAGCATCAGATTGTAAAAGTAGAAATAATTTAATCACTGTACCTCTAAGGGGGACATCCTGTCAAGCGATAACCGTATGGAGCGCAGGCGGTCAACGGACTTCTTCTCGACACGCGGACTCCACGCACAGGCACGTGGCTGGCCATCACCAATGGGAACCGGGTCGCGGTGTGGTCGAAACGCAGGAAAATACTCGTATATCCAGGTCTGTAACAACGTCAGACATCCAGTGATACTTGCTGCATCAGCCCGGCTCGAGAATCCTAACTGGCGATACAGATACGCCAGCGTAGCCGACCCCCAAGAAAACTGGCCTACTCTGTCGGGCTCACACGCGTCAACTATGTCGCGTGGCCTGAGCTTGTTCCCGCTCTTATCCGGAAACAAGGTACACCCGAGAAGAAGAAAAACATATGCAGCCAGCTGTGTGTCCTGCGTCCTACGTGCCGTAGGGTGCAAACATCGCTGCAAGACGGCTGCGATCTTAACGCCGCCGTGATCCCACACACCAAGTGCCGATGTGTACAGCGCAGCCCTATCCACCGCCAACAGCTCCGCTAGTAAATCTGTCTGATCTGCATCAGTGACGACAGATGCTCGGTTTCCCTCCACGGGAATCCCAAGGATGGCCTCGACGTCATGCAACATGATCGTCATCTCACCGAACGGAAGGTGGAACGAGTTCGTATCCGGCTGCCATCGCTCAACGAAAGCCGTGATCAGCGTCCAGTCAATCCTGTCGTGCATGGTGGCAGGAAGGTGACTCACTCTAGTGCCCCTCAATCGCCCGACCATCTTGCTCTCCTCCGGCCAAGCATCAGCCCAGCTACACAAAAACCTACAAGTCTTTTCCCGGGTTTGACATTTCAAAATGCCTGTATCCAAAGCCCTCTCCTGGTCCTCCCAAATACGGGTAGCGATGTGTCCTAAAAAGCTAGGAATCACACTCCCGTCTATAGGTCCCCCGGCCACCTCACCCCTCACCATCCAAGAATCATTAACGGCCCTCGACCGTTTTCTGCTACCCGCAGACACAGTGGACGCAGATGATGTGCCAGATCTACTAACAAACCTATCATCTCGACCCTTACGCACATCTACCCTATGCGTCTCATACGTATCATCAAGCCTCTGACTGAATGGACCGTAATCATCATATGGTCCACTCTGATCGTCGACATCCTCATCTGCAAGACAATATACATATAAACATAAGAAATATAAACATAAACATATACCAAAAACAAAAAATATAAACTACAAACAAAAAAAAACAAACATAAACAAAAACAAAAACAAAAAATATTACCAAAAACAAAAAATATAAATACAAAAAAGGACGAAAATAAACACAAAAGCAAATAAACAAGTAACGGAAATAAAATTATAAACATAAAAAATAAAAATATAAACAACACAATATAAATAAAAACATAAAAAATATAAATATAAACATAAAAAAATATAAATATGAACAAAACAATATACCAAAAACAAAATATATAACCAAAACAAAAAATATAAACAACAAACTAAAAAATGAAAAACATAAACAAAAACAAAAAATCAAAAATGCAAAGAAAAAACCAAAAACAAAAAACTAACAAAACTTAAAAAATTTAAAATTGCAAAAACTTAAAAAAAGAAGAACATCAAAATTTTAAAGAAAATTTATAAAAAAAAAAGGGAACTTATAATTTTTTTACATACAAAAATATAATTCAAAAAAAAAAAAAAATACATAGGAACATAAAATTAAAAATTAAAACCAGAAACAATTTTTTTTTTTAAAAAAAATAGAACATAAAATTAAAACAAATAAAAAAACAAAATTTAAAAAAAAAAGATAAAAAAAAAGGGAACATACAATTTAAAAAAAAGAAAAACAATTTTTTTTTAAAAAAAAAAAAAAATTCGAAAAAAAAATTTAAAATTAAAAAAAACAAAAAAAAAATTTAAAAAAAAAAAAGAGAAGGAGGCGCCTAGGCAAGACGCCCGTACGGTGGTGGCGGCGCCTAGCCCAGACGCCACTACCACGGCCGTGGCGCCTAGCCTATGCGCCGCCGCCGTGGTAGTGGCGTCTGGGCTAGGCGCCGCCACCACCGTATGGGCGTCTTGCCTAGGCGCTTCCTCCGTGGTGGTGGCGTCTCGCCTTGGCGCCCCACCGTCGCCGGAGGTTTTTTTTTTTTTAAAAAAAAATTACAAAAATTTAAAAAATTACCTTCTGGCCGGCAAACCGCCTTCCGCCCACCGCCGGTGCCGCCACTTCCTTGCCGGGCCGCCTCGACATAGCTCTGGAAATAATTTAGAGAGAGAAAGTGGAAGTAGAGAGTAGAGAGAGAAATTGTGTTTTTTAGATTGAGGGCAAAAGTGTCATTTCACTCTTATTTTGTGGGCTTTATGTAGGAATTTGCGGGCGATGTTTAACAGTTCACTATATTTTTTATTGGAATTTAATTAAAGTTTGTTAAAATTCTTTGTATCATAGTATAAACATTAATGTGGTAATGTTATTCTCTTTTAATGTTATCGATTTAAATATAGCATAAATCAAAATAAATTAGCTATTTTTTTTTAATTTCAAATGCGCCCAAAGAGACCTGTTAAGTGAAATAAGTGGTCTCAGTTTACTAAAAAAAGAGACTGCCTATCTTTAAGAGGCCATCTCTTTTTTCCCAAAAAAAGAAACTGTCTATCTTAGATAGGCGGTCTCAGTTTTATCAATGTTGAGACCGCCTTAAATAAAGCAGTCTCTTTGCCAAAGAGATCGCTTAGCTAGAAACCGCCTCTAAGGCAGTCTCTTTGGCTAATTTGGACGGGTCTCTTTGGCCATTTTTGTAGTAGTGTCTTCCTCATCAACTACTGATTCTTCTGAATCTTGAGCCTTAAGTGCAAGACTTTTACTTCTGGAACTTTCAGTATTGGAACTTAGATGAAATTCATGTGTCATCAATGATCCAGCTAGTTGTTCCATATTAAACTTGGTGAAATCTTTAGCTTCTTGCATAGCAGTAACCTTGGATCTCCAGCGTTCATCTTGTGGTAGACTTCTTAGGATCTTCCTTGCCTGTTCATCAATAGGAATATGCCTGCCAAGGGAGTTCAGTTCATTAATAATATCATTGAATCTGGTAAACATCTCTTCTATGGTTTCTTTAGACTGCATTTCAAACCTTTCATACCTAGACATCAATAAATCTATTTTAGAACGTTTTACCTCGTTAGTACCTTCATGAGTTACCTGTAGCAAATCCCAAATCGGTTTGGCAGACTTGCATCCCATGATACGGTTATGTTCATGGGGTCCAAGTCCACAGTGCAAATACTTTATTGCTAAAGCATTCAGTTCAAGTTTCTGATAATCTTCTTTGTCATAATCAGAAATAGATTTAGAAACTACCTCATGTTTGTCATTGGTTGCAGTTATTTCAAAATCACCAGTTTCAATAACACGCCAAACCTGGTAATTTTTAGCCTTGATGAAGATCTTCATCCTGTTCTTCCAGTAGGCATAGAACTTACCATTGAACATAGGTGGACGTTGGGTTGAGTACCCTTCTTCAAGTTTCTCCTTGTAATTCATCTCTCCAGGAACTTACTCAGCAAAGTTATCTGCTTGCAAGTGAGAACCTTGCTCTGATACCAATTGTTAGTGGAGACGAACACTACAAGAGGGGGGGTGAATTGTAGGTGAGTTCCTAGTGACTACTTTTTCAAATATAAAACAGAATAAAATAGGAACTTGCAATGCTCACAGGATTTTATGAGGAAACCTTCTAGTGCCCAACTAGAAGTAAAACCTCGACCCTACCTTAGGGATTTCGAACACAAACAATTTCACTATAATAGGGCAAACACCAAGTTACAACCTATTATAATCAAACCTCTACTCACAAGTTCCTGAACGAACTTGCTGCAGAATAGGATTCTATTCTACCCAGTCTAAGACACACACTCAGACTCTCTCTCGTACTCCCTAAGCACAGATCTTCTTAACTTCTCAACAGAAGCTCTCTCTCTCTGTATGCAATGATAACAAAAACACTCTCACCCAAATAACCCAAACCAATTACAAGTAAAGACACCTAGTATATGATAGGCAAGCTATACATGAAACCCGAAACTAATATGACAAGATGATAAGCTTGGCAAACTTACACAATTAAAGCTCTGTAAATTCTTCACGCATAAAACTCACAGAAAACCTAAACTCTTTTTTTTCTCTACTATTTATACAAGTATTACTTGTATAGCAAGTAGGTTTTCTTAAAGAAAAATAAGTTAAACTTAACTTATCTTTATACACGGTTTTTATGTAAATCATTAGAAGAAAATCTTTTCCGAAAAATAAGATAGAAAGATTGAGTTAAAAAGCATAATATCTTTTTAACAAACTGATTTTAAGAAATAAACATTTAAATAAAATCTTTTTCGAATTCTATCTTTTATCTTTTCCGATTTTAATTTATTTGCCAAGCTAACTTGTCACGCTTCTAATAGACTTCATGCATATCCTACTTAACATATTTAACAATGAATCTAGAAGATAAAATCTTTAACTAAATCATTGCTGCGCCGCACTCCTGTACTGGTAGGTTTACTTGGGCTCCACGCTTACTAAGCTCCTCCAAAGATCTTACCCAGCCATCTTCAAGTTCCTGTTAGGGAACTCAGTTCCTGTGAGGGAACACTTCTTCTGTTTCGAATAACCTTCTTGAATAAAGAACTTCTTCAAGTCTTCTTAGTTTCAGTTACTTCTTTCATCTCCAAGATCAATTTCACCTAAACTAAACAAACACTTGAAAAACCTTTATTAAATGAGTTTGCTGTAGTTTAAGTTCCTCATCATCAAAACCTTTAAACATCAACAGCTTCATAAACTAAAAGGGTTGGTGAACATAGGCCATTAGGGTTGTAACGCGGTTTAAACAAGAGCGGGAAACATTAGGCTCAAATTGCTTAATAGGTAGGTCGATGCAAAACAGAAAACCAAATTTGTAACAAAATAAAAAGGAGATAAAGAAAAATGAGAAAAGGTGCCCTTTTCCTCCCCTAGAGTGGCTCGGTCACGATCTTGGGAACTAGAGGTCAAAACAAGGATTAAGACATGCATAGTCAAGGATCCTAAATAGCCGCTCAACAAGGTGATAAAGGCTAGAATAAATGAAGCTCACAAGGGAATATAACCAAAAAAATAAGAAACCAAGGGTTTCAAATCTACTATAGAGAGCAACTCCATCTTACCACATTCCTGCGAACTAAGGCTTCATGGACCCTAAAAGTTCTTAACCGACTACCCTAGCATATAGTATCCTAGAGTCAACCAATGACACTCTCAAACCGTGCACACATTTACCACTTAGGAAGAAAAACATTCAAGGATTCAAGTCCCAAAACAAAATGTCCAAAATAAGAACAAACAAAACACATTTTGCCAAAATTACCTTGAAAGTAAACAAAAATCTTTTTGGATTTTTCAAAATAAAAGAAAAGACATGGAAATGCATATACGAAAGTTCATGGCATAAATGAATCAACATCCCACCAAAGCATGATAGAATACCCTCCCCCCAAGCTTGAGTGAGACAATATACTCAAATATAAACCAAATTATCCATGGGAGGGGAAAAGAAATAAATTAATCCAACAAACCAACACATGTCCATCGAGTCTCCAACCATTAGAGAAAGAGCTAGGAGAGATATTACTGGATATTGGTGGGTGTAAATTCCCGCAAATGACCCAATTTAACCTTTCAAAGCCGATTTCCTCTTGAATTGAATCTCGATTTCCATATGCTAACAAAAATAGAAGTCAAACTTCCTTGTTTCTTGATCCAAACCAATGCATAAGAGTATACCAAGTCATGTACCTAGCAAA